CTGAAGCGCGAGAAAAAATGGATCATCTGTCGCCTGACTTGATACACGTCCAGTGGAAGCTACAAATGGACATTGCCCCCGATACTCACAAAGGACTTATCGCCGCGTCACGTGTCAAGTTTGATCAATTACTTCAGTTAAATGAACATTATCTTTGGAAGCTATATAACGAAATCATTCTGCTCGAGACTGGACAATATTCTATCATCCCAATCATGAACGCTGAGGTCAAAACGGATACTCGAGGTCGACCTCGAGCTTCTTTCGCCAAAGGTTCCAAAGCAAAACGCCTAGCCTCACCTGATGGGCGATGGAAATCGGACCTGGAGCTTGATGAGGCTGCGAAACGTCCTCGGGTCAGCAAATGCAGCCTTTGCTTGACTCCCGGTCACAATATTACAACTTGTCCTCTTCGAGCAAGTCAAACTTTGACAAATCGTGTTGGTTCAAGTTCAAAACGGGTTTTGAACAAGTCAATTACAAAAGAAGAAGCCTTGCTTGATGATTCCGAACCCAAAGCTGAGGAAGAAGCTTTACCCGAAGCTGAGGAAGAAGCTTTGCTCAATGATTTCTATGACATGGTTGAAGCGCAGGAGAGGGAGGATGTAGTGGGCGCTGATGACATCAGTGACTCGGATTCAGAAGGACTAGATGGTCAAGATCAAGATGCCCAAGATGAAGGACTCTGTGAATTCTGCAAGGATCCCCTCCCCGAAGCGCCTTCCAAAAAGCTTACCGATTTGAAGGCTCTTCTCTTGGCAATTCCAATCAGCGGGGGCAAGTCTTTGTCGGTGAGTTTTTGGTTTGGTTTTGCTCGCTCGTGCCTTACCTCATGCTCATGCAGGTTATTTTGCGCAGTGGACCCAAACTGCTGAGTATTGTGAATTACATCGGGCAGAATGTGAGACCATTCCACACGGAGTGAGCAAAGGATGGCCTACTATCATCGATTTTGATCATTTGCACAAGTAAGTACCATACATTAATCTTTGTATGATGTATGACGTACCTTTGACTAACTCTTATCCTTCATTTGCGCGACAGCCGTATCAAGGAGCATACACATCTATTGAGCAACATTATCAACCAAACTGAACCTTCGCCTTACTTGGATTACGCCATGAAAAAGAAACGTAATAGCAAGAGTATTGATACTCTGTCAAATATGCTTAACATTGAGGTTGAGCTCCCGGGATAGTGAGTACCCTACCCATGCTTGCTCCTTTGCTTATAGGACTAAATAGAGTCAATTTTTGCTTTGTCCCAATAGTTACGGATATCAAGGGTATGAAGTGTTTGTAAGAACCCTAGAGAACATCTTCATCAATGATCAAATGTCACCACATCATCTCGGTTTGCACCAAGCTGCACCTCTCACTCCCGATTCCTTAATTCGACAAGTCCTGATTCCCGAAGTGGCGATATGTTTGATTGCTGAAGATCTGAACTTGGACCGAAGGGATCCGCAAGTCAAGGAGACGTTGGAATCAAGCCGAAAGTATGGAGTTGCAGTTTTTCCAATGCCAGCTGAAATGTATGAGATGAATGGCACCTCGCTTAATCACAATCACCGGCTTACGAAGAAGCCCGCACCAGCTACCACCACCTCACTCGTTGCTAACACTTCTCAGCCAATTTCAGCTCGCGCATTAGAAAAGAGCACACTGGTTAAACCAGGCGAACGAAGAATATTGAAACAATTACCTCGTATAGTCATTCCACACATCAAGACTATCTACGATCCACCCCGTTTTGGCAACTGTGGTTTTTACGCAATAGCTAATGCCCTGCGATGTAATAAGGAAGATTCTTATGTATTGGTTCGTCGCCACTTACGCGAAGAACTGCTGGCTCATCGGGAGTCCCATGAACAACTAATCTCGACTGCACCCGGAATGAAGTCTCGGCGTGTGACGACTCGACGTGCTTCACCTGCCGCAGTGGAAATCGTTGAAGATCTTCTTCATCGACTTCAACCCCAAGAGGCTAGATGTGGTGAGGAGTTCTGGATGCGCATGCCTTACACAGGCTACGTCATTGCCAGTGTGTATGAATGCCCTGTCATTCTCTTAAATCCGAAAGAATCAAACTGTTACACCTTTTTCCCGTATCGTACTCCACCCAACAGGAATAATCCAATCCTTTTGGCCTTTGTGGATGGTGATCATTTTGCAAATTTGGGTGGTGGGGTTGGATCAATTCCATTACCGGGAATATACGGTGATATCCTCTCACCTACAATAACTGAGACCGAAATTCCTGATTGGATTAAAAAGTATCGAGTGCAGTTAGATATGTGGGTTTGTTAGTTGGTCTGTTTCTTTGTGTGACACGTGTTGTTTTCTCTTTTTGCTTTCTCTTTCTTGTGGTAGTGAGTCATGCTTTATGTAGACCGATGCTCTCGGTCATTCTTTTTCTTTTGTTGTGGCTGTCTCGCTTTCTCTCGTATGCCCCATATGGAATCTTGTTCTTGTCTCTCTTTGTAGTGGCTCCTATGCGCTCAACCTATGCCTGCTATGCTATGCTTTCAATATGATATAATAATTTTATGCCAATTACAGTCATCGGTCTTGTGACCAGAACTAGCTAGGTGCTAGGTGTGAGATTTGTACAAGCGAGACAAAGAGGAAGAACGACGTGATAAAAACATCGAAAAAAGGTGTGAGAAGTTATGGACGTGTATGTACCAGCCGGACGGAAAGGAAGAAGGTAATAAATTAAATAATGGGTGCCCCTTTTTGCCCCTTTTTTTTAGAAAGGGGCTCCTCATTTGTTTATAGCCCCGTGTCCGACCCGAAAGAGGGCGCCGGATACGGTTCCGAGGGCGCTAAATAGTGGGATCCTTTTTAGTTCAAAGTCCTAGCTTACGGGCATTTGTCTTATATTCTTGAGTTCCTCTGTTTTTATTTCAACAACAGAAACTTGGAAAGGACACAGGCAAACTGTTTTTTGTGTTTTCATCAGACAAACTTCATTCCAAACAAACTTCACATTAGCACATTATCTGTAGGTCTCAGACCATACATAAAAAAGAAAAAAAACTTAAGGGAAAACATTATAAACTATATACATACAGAAGCATTTCTTTCTTTATTTTTTCTTCATTTTTCCCTTTTCTAAGAATCTTGGTTTTTGAAACATAAATCTAGGTTCCCGTAAAGAGCTCTCAGATCGAGAAGTCGATAAAGCCCTTTCGCTGAGCGTCTCTACCTCTTCGTTTTGATCAATAGAGAATTGAGGAAAGTTATCAGCTAATCTAGAATCAAATCCTGCATGAAAACGAACGTGTCGGTGTGCTAACTTTCTTCTAAGATTTAAAGGTTTTGATGATGAAATACCTTGTGAGTCGGGGTCTTCAGAATCAGTCAAGTCGTCGAATTGGGTAACATGGGCTGGGGCGCTTATAGCACTTCCGTCACTGGGTCTTTCATCTTGGTTATTGTCTTCAGCATTTGTTCCTTCGAATTGGGTTTGGTGAGCCGGTGCACTTTGGGTATTGTCTTCGTCTGGGGGAGAGATGGATCTTGGGGTATCAGTTGAAAATTCTACAGTATCACTAAACTTAACTCGACGAGCTGGGGCACTCTTTGACTTGGATGGTGATTCCTCCCCGACTGTGTGAGCGCGTCTCCTAGTTTGAGCCGGAGCCGAGTGTGGTAATTGTTCGTCTTCAGCGTTTGGTGTTTTTGTTTGGTCTGGGATTTCGACTTTCTTTGGTAATGGAGGAGGGAGAACGTAATAATTAGGAGGAGGAGGTAAAACATTTTTACTAACGTGTTCATAACCAGTATAAACAGCTCTTTGTCTTAGCTCTTCACGACGGACTCTTCTAGATATCTCCTCTTCTGAGTCAAACATAGGATCGTAAAAGTCATCTGGAATTCCACGGCATTGAAATGATTCATCTGAGTCTACCGAGTTAACCGATGTATTTGAAGCGTTAGATCCGCGACGTCCAAAGATTTTTCCTAGAGTTGAAGGAATTTTCAATCAGCAAGTTTATAAAGCTTTGAGTTCTTGTACAGTCTATTGTGATAATAAAGATTTCTTAAGTTTTGCGTGGATTTCGTGCTAAAGTGAAGAAGGTCGTTGAGTGAAGTTTGGAAAGTGTTTGGTGATGGATGACAGTAAGCCGAACATCGAAGGTCTTTATATAGTGCTTCAAGATCATCAGATCAGCTTCTCTACTCTGATCTTTCAAGCCTAGAAAATCACTCGTAAGCTGGTTGGTTGAACTTATGAAAAGCACCTTCAATTTACAAATGCTTTCTTAGCTATAAGATACGCGTAGGCTGTCGTCATTTCCTCTATGGAAGAAACCATTGTGCATTTAACATTTTAAAATTCTTACTCTTTTCGCCTTGTGAAATGTCACTGACAATATTTTTCTCGCATCCGGGCCTGTGCTTTCATCAATTATGCTGAGTGATGGGCTGTTCAGCTTCTACAACCGCGATCCATATGAATTGCTTTTCCGTTCATTTTGATCCAGTAGATTTGAAAAGTCGGGTTCTATGAATGTCTGAAGGGTAATTAATACCTTCATCCTTATCTTCAGTTATGATAAGGCCGTGAAATGATTCAGAAGATTCTTTTACCGTGTTTGTTTCCTGAGCCTAGATAAAAAGAGTTTATATAATGTATGTCTTTTTTCTTGTACCATGGATTGTAGATTGAATTTAGGATGTAAGAGAAACATTCCAATACCATCCATGACAAGAGTCTACATTCATAGCCGTGGTATAGTTTTTGAATCCTGAAGCATAAAGTAATCTATAGCTATCTTTCTGTGTTTCTTGATTCTTTCTTGAAGTCCTACTGATACTATACTAATACTATGCATCCAATCACATCAACTATGATCCAATTCAACGTCTTCAAACTTTTGATCTTCATGTCTGACACTCTCATAAAATCGTAATCATGAACTTCTTTTCTTCCAGACAATCAAGCCTCTAACTTCATTTCATTCTACATAGTACATCTCATAATTGTTCATTATCAATATATATAGAATATCATTCCATAAAGACCAAATACACAATTAATAAGATAAATTCAAGTATCAAACCTATTGGAAAATCTAATGTAATCAAAAAATCAAGCAAGTCAAACTTTCATTGATTCTAAAGTAAGTCTCATCAAATCAATTCATCAATCCATCAAAATACACGCAGGCATACTACACACACACACGTACCATAAATACACTTTGAGAAAGAAAAAGAAAACAAAAAGAAAGACGAAAAAAATTAAATCAAACAGTTCTCCTTGTTTTCCATTCAAAATGTCCTCAATAATTCAAAGATAAAAACAGAAAAAGAAAAAGAAAAGAAATCGATCTAGAAAACAAGATATATAAGAAAAAAGAAAGAAGATTTAAAGTATATAATTGATCAAGATCTATAAAAATGAAAAAAAATGAAAAAATGTGAAGATCATGAATAATGAGGTTTTTAGAAAATCTAAGTTTGAAAAGATTATGAGAAGAAGATTAAACCTTTCAAAGCCAACCTCAAGCTCAATAAAAATGAATGATATGAAGTTTGATGAAAAAGTGACGATGATAAAGAAAATGAGAAATCGGATTAAGGAAGCAAAAGATATGATATGATTTGATGAAGGTGTGTTTAGATGGCTAATAACCAATCTCGTACGATTTCATAAGTAACAAAAGAAGTTCCAATACTAGGTACAACCTATAATTTTGGTTTACAGAAAGAACCAAGAAAATCATCAGTTTTTGATTGATCGAATTTCATAATTGCAAATCGAAATGATGATTTTCATTCAAATACCTACCTTTAATAAATTAGGCCATAAACCTTTATAAAGTCCACGAAGTCCTTCATTGCGAATGATTTTCTTCGTAGCATCCCAAGCTCCATCATACTTAAAACTCATCCCATTCATTCCAGTGACTTGCATTCTTCTTCTTAACACATCTAAAGGATACGTCACAGTTTGTGACATCCCACCAGCAAATGCACCACACCCTAATTTTTTAAGAACATTATAAGGTGATGATTGATCAGGGGGGCAAAACGTTTGTTTTAAAAACTCATAACTTGCAAAATTCGATCCAACATAAGGAGCCACACCTATGACTGTAGGAATCAAACCTCTATACAATCCACGTAAACCTCCTTCGGTTTTGTAAATCTCTAGACTGGTTTTGATGATCCCTGTTGAGTTTTGATGGGCTTGGGGTTTCGTTCCGATCTCAGCTGAAATTATACTTAATCTAGATCTAACTAAATCTAATGGATAAGTAGCTACCACAGAACATATCCCGGCTATCGCTCCTGCTGTTAATCTTAATGGGGTATTTAATTCTTGTGTAGGTGATAATCTTGTTAAAAGTTTTTTGGCTACTTCGTATGCTGAAAACTGAATGGCTGAATAAGGAGCTAAAAGAAGTTGTTGTAAAAAATATTTACAAGGATAGGAGTTAGTTTTTTGTGTTTAAAGATCCTTTTTGTGGATAAAAGTGTAAAACGATTTGATGGTAAGGGAGAGGATGAATACCGATTCTAATCACATTAATACCATTTCCACGAAAATAACCTCTCCAACCTTCAGTTTTACCAATCTTAACTAACGAAGGCCACATTCCTTGATAATTTGAACTACCAGGACCTTGACATTGACTTTGAAAGATCGCCAAAAGAAACCCCATGAGATTTACAAATCACAAAAAGAGAGTGAGATGAAATTTAAACTTACAAGATGATCTTAAGTCTTTCTAAAGGAGATACTACTGTTCTACTCATCGCACCTGCTGTACCACCTGCAATGAAATATTCGATGAGATGAGAACTAGTTGATTTTGGTTTGGTAGGTTTGATTGGATTTGTAGTTGAAGTTGATTGAATTGGATTTGAAGAAGTTGATTGATTGTTTGTAGCCATTGTTGGTAAGATTGGACGAGGTGAGTTTGAATGATTGGATGTTAGCATCCTTGATGGATTGGATTGGATTGGATTTGATTTGATTTGATAAGTTGATCGATGTGTGGCTGAGTTTGGAAATGGGATTTAGTAAACTAATTAGCTGAAATGGATTATAATTTAAACCAATCTGAAAACTACTTTGACTTCAAATGTAGTTTATCCTTCAACATTTACCTTCACTCTCATTCTACGCCATCTGAATCAGTTTCATCCATTTCTCAATCTCATTCAACTTTTGACAAGAAAAGCATCTCAGTCCAATCAGTTCATCCACTTCAAATTCAAATGGTTTGCGAAAAGGTAAATCAAACACTATCAACTATCAACCATCACCACAAGAAAACTGATTCATCATTTCATAACTTGAACCAAATTTCGAACCAACCTTACAAATTCAATCAGTGCAACAAAAAATTAAGTAAAAGTAAATCAAACTTACATCTAAAGTCAATCTCACCATCACAACCAGTAACTTATATATTGATTTTCAAAAAAAAAATCAAACAGATTCATTAGCAACACCAGAAGTAAGAGGTATAGCAGGTTCATCAAATGCAATCCAAAACCAAGGAAGAAAGATTGGTGAAAACAAATTATTAGTAAGTCACCATCTCTAATATTTTCAAAAAAACAAAACATCTTTAGAAACCATGTTTTGCTTGATTCTTATCTTTTTTTTTTTAATTTTGATTAGTCTTCAAAAAATCGTTATAATCCTTATCAATCTACATCTGCCTCATCATCATTATCAAAAAAATCAACTAATCCATCAATCGGAATCGGTAAATGTTTAACATGTAAATCATCCGTAGCAAGGAACGGTGCAAAGTACTGTCAAAACTGTTCTTGTGAGTTTTAAAATTCTATTACTGATTCATAAAACTTTAATTGATTGATTAAATTCACAATGAAAACTCTCTTTAATATAAACAAAAAACCAAAACGATGATAAAATGTTTAGTTAAAAAGGTAAAAAGATTTTCTTTGATCATCATGATGTATGATTTATGATTTTGGATCTTCAATATATTGATGATGTTTTGTGTTTGATTTCGTTTTGATTTATTCTCATCAGGGTATTTGTGGAATGTGTGGAAAAATAGTCACTGATATAACGTATTCAAAACAAACTGCAAAATAACTCAAACAATTCGTTACAATTTCTCAAGTTTTTCAAATCTTATTTCTAAACCAAACATTTCAATTGTCAACCAAAGGAATAATTGTAATCCTACATATATCACACTCTTCTATTTTTTATTCCTTATGGTTTGTTGTTTGTAAACCTTTTGTAATATGAAGGATGCAATTGATTTGATGATTTATAAAGATCCATCAGATTCACACCAGTTGATCACGAGACCTAAATTTGATCAACTTTAAGATGCTTATCATCTTTCTTATTGTATGATCAATCTCTTGGATCTTCAATAACTCATCCTGAACACCCTACAAAGATAGCCCATCATTTCTTTGTTTCTGTACAAACTTCTTACACAAGAATTCAAGTATTACAAAAAAGTCAAGTCAGATGAACCTGTCCAATCCTGACCATCTCCCAAAGGAAACCCCCCCCCAAAAGTGAAAAAAGAAAACCCAGCTATTCATCATCTTCAAATTCATTCAACTAAACCATTCCCATTACCTAATCCCGAAGAACTTTGACTCATCATCTCACCATACCCATGATGATTGATCAAACTATTCACGCCTCCTTCAAGTTTTAATCTTTCTAAACATTCATCCCAAAAGACTTTCAATCTGTTCTCATCTTTACACAATCTCACCAATGAACTTCTCAATTCATCTAATTCTTCTCTCATCGTACGTGTTTTGCCTATCGAACTTAAATCTCCATAACCACTTTGACTCATCATACTCCCTCCTAGTCCTCCTCCTCCTCCTACAATACCACCTCCTCCAAACCTTCGATTACTTGAACCTGTTTTGGCTGCTAAGTTATCGGCCCAAACTAATGTACTCTCTTCTCTGATCTCTACCATAGCTAAACCACTACAATGAATAAACCTTGTATATTGTGCTGTCCTTCTTCTATATCTATTCCATTCCAAAATATATGACATATGATCAGTTTGTTATCATTTGATTTGGATTCATCCTCTTTGAAAAGTAACAGTCTTTAAATTAAACTTACGAATAAATGATTTCTACATTTTCTGGAAAATTCCTTTCTGCTTCAACCTAAAAAAAACCAAAAAAAACAATCAATCAATCAATCCCATAAACCTTGATCAAAAATCCAATCTTTCTCCCTAATCCAATTGGTTTCATCAAAACTCACATCTAAAACAAATCCTAAACTTCTCAGCAACTGTCCTTCAAAATAATCAAATTTAGAAACCCGCCAAACCGTCGGTAGAGGTTCAAATCGTTTAAAACATCCATTCAAAAGTTCAAGATTAGGTTTAAAAGAAAGCCTAAGTTCCATACGGTTTTGAAACGGACTGAATTCCAAAACCGATTCAAGACTTCTAACAGATTCTTCAATGACTTTAATCGAATACCGTTCAATGATTCGAGTCCATTGTTGAATTAGATTCTCAACATAATTCGAACTGATCCCTAACCATTGGATTTCAAGATGCCATGCATTTAAAGTTGAATGACTTAAATCACAATGAAGAATCACTTTTTCACTTCGTTCACTTCGTCCGGTCGGATCTAAATCTATGATACCCGATCGAGTCATCGTGATCTGAGGTCTTTCGGCTCTAGATCTACTTACTGAACTTGATCTTCTACTCTTCACTTCACTTACTCCAACATTAGAAACAGTAGCTGCAGATGAACTAGGTCGAGAACTCAAATTACTCGCATTAAGTTTATCCGTCACTTTTTCTACCGTCAAAGTAGATGAAGTAGGTGTCACACTATTCGAAGTAGCCACCGTCGAAGTAGATGCTCTACCAAACCAAGTTCTCGAAGGCTTAGGTGGACAAAGATCTGTGTTCAATTGATAATATCGAGGTCCGTCTATCAAAGCTTTGGGTGGATGATGATAAGCATCTTTAAACAATCCTCGAAGTTCTAATTGTCGTCCAAACTTTAAAGCTTCTTCTCGGGTTGAAAAATTGAAGTGATGTTTTAAAAACGTCACAAACTTGTCTCCCATAAAAACATTGTCGACCATTCTTAATTGAGTGAATTGAATCGATTGAGGTTTCACATCTACTCCATGTGCTGTGTTCATCATCGCTTCTACAATCACATTCAATGGATCTCTCAAACTCAACACTCTTCCTAATTTCTCTCTTTGACCTCGATAAGCCGACGTAAAAGCTCTGAACCGTTCAGCTTCTTGTCTAACATGTATAGAAGCATCTGAACTTGAAAAATCTAAAGCTAATCCGTCTTTCGGTAAATCTGAGATCGGTAACCATGTAAGGTTTCGTAAATGCATTTGCATCTTCATCATTCCTGCCACTCTAGTCTCATCTATCGTCGCATCTGCATTGTTTTGAGCTTTTGACCCTAATGGTGAAACACTATCAGGTAAGAAAACAATCCTAGTACGCCAGTATCTAAGTGATTCTGATAATGGAAGACCATAATCATTTCCAACGATGATCCCATCAAGCGCTTTAAAATCAAAACTATCTAGATCTGGAAATTCAAACTTCAGATCAAATTCATGCCAACCGGGCCATTCAGTCGACCACCAAACCGCAGGTCGATACAAATAAGCTTCGGCCAACCAAGCACGTTTTCTAACATAGATCTGCACAAGCAAAGTAGGAGAGCCAGTTTCAAGGCGTTTGATACTAACTCGATGATAATGATCACTGAGTGAAACATCCACATAAGCACCCTGTCCCTTTTCAGCCTCATGAAGAATACCTTCCATCGAAAGCCAACGAGGACGAAGGGTAGGAGCCAGTTCGGTCACATGAAGTGGTAATTCAGGTATCACAAGTTGAAAACCTTGACTAAGTCGTTGAGAGATCGCTTCTCGTAGAGTAGAAGCCGCACGAACTTTACTGGCTTCCTGAGGTGTCAGAGATGGATCTGGTGTTTTGACCAAGACTGATGATTCGGCAATCAAATATTCATATTCAGTAAGAGCATATGATGTGTTTAGTTCTTCTTGACTAGGAGAAAAATCAGTGGTGATGGGTAGACATCCAGGTGTAGTAAGCGACTTCCATTTCAGTGACCGTTGATCATTCGGCGGTCGTGGAAAGATTGCACTCCAACATCGATATTGTGAAAGTAAGCCAGATGAGGAACCATTGGGATTAGACGGGTTAAACTTCTTCCGTTGTCGTGGTAAGCTAGTTTTCTTGATTTCTGGGGATCGTAATGATGACTCTACTGTTCTAGAATCACGTCCGATTGTCGAGGCAGAGGTGATCCGCTTAGGAGTGTTCATCAAAGGCATCAAATTTGTTGCCGGACGAATGGAATCTGATTGCCCAGAACGTATGGTATCCGATCGAAGCTCTCGGAAACCTCGGGTCACAGAAGAAGCACGCGATCCCGTCCGTTGTGAGCTCCCATCATCAGTTGGATTTAGATAAACACTTTCAGGAGGACTTGATTGTCGAGCCGTCGAGGCGGTCGATACATTCCTGCTCGGTTTTGTAGACGAAGAGCCAGTGACACTAGACCAAGGCCAGAGAGTTCGAGACGGTTGTGCCAAACCGGCTAAACGCGCCAATAAAGCGGGCGCACCCGTTGTGGCTTGATTCGATTCAGTGGTTGATGCTGATGTGGCACGACTACGAGAGCCTGAGATCGGCATGGTCGACAATCCTGCTGAAGGTTGATTAGCTAATTGAGAAAAATCTCTTGAGCCATCAGGAATGGTGGCCTTGAGCAATGGAGACCGATTGATTTCTTCATGCTTAGAACTTGCGATCCTACGCTTGGGTTCGATCGGTGTCAGTACCAAGTGATCGATCACCGCACGCGTGCTTGAAAGTTGAGCAGCTTCTTTTTTCGCACGACGAGATAATAAAGGACCTGGTGAAGCTTCTACAACACCAGCATCGAAGATCTGTCTTGCTTTCTTCCTTCTTTGCGCATCATCATCTGTAGCCCCAGGAGGCATAGCTTCATGTAGATAGGGTATAGATATTCCACTCATATCATGCTCACCAATCCCATTCTGAATTTGAGGCATTCGACAGCGTGGCATGAAGCGATCGATTCTGAAAGGACGATCCTGATGACGAGAGAAAAAGGAACAATCTACAAAAAATGGAACCACATAATACGTAGTTTTTTTCGCTTGGGGAGTAGGCGCATCCAGATATATTGGATTCATCGATGGATCGAGTAATCGATGTGATGTATTGAGATCTTGTCCGGACCGTCTTGGCGATTGATAGTGATCCAAGTCGAGAGCTGAAAACCGGAAGAGTGGGACCACATGGAGTGGGATCTTCGACAGACTGACATAATCGACCCCCAATCCATGGGCAACAAAACGTTCAGTGGCTAGCCTCAGAAGCATCTGATTGGCGTGATAGACACATGTTCCAGCCGTCACAAACACAATCGAGACCCCCGTACGATGTAAATCGCGGTCGATATAATGTTCATCGAAAGAGTTACAAGCTGTGCTCATCGCTTCGAGAATATTCCCTTCAGGTGCATATGAGATCTGACCGGCTAGCCTAGTCGCTCCTGCCGAGTCGGTATAAGTAAGAGTACGTTGTTGGAATTTTGAGATATCTTCCCGTACATGGTCTAGAACCTTTTGTGAATGTACAACTGTCTCAAGATCAATGATGACCTGATATGAGCCGAAAAAATTGTCAGCATCAATTCAAACACTCGGATCAAGTTCACATGCCTTGTAAAAATCCTTGTAAGCCCTCCCATCATCGCCTATAAGCACTGGTTCTGGGATCTGATCAACGTCTTTTTCATCATAAAACACCCTGGCAAAAAGGACAATCGTGACGAGATGATTACAACCAATCTTATTCCATCGACTGAACAGATCTTCAAGAAAGAGTATAGCCTTTTCATGGTACAGAGATCCATCTTCCTCAAAGGTCCACATCTCTGAACTCATCTGTATGTAAAGATAATCTATGGAAAGCAAGAGGCACGGTAACATTCCAAACGTCAGTCAACTTGTTTTGCAAGATAAAGAGCGACGGAAATTCATGGATGATTTGTCTACATTTAGCACTTTCCGATCGAAAAATAATCTTCGTGAACGGGGTGATATAACCAGCCAAAACCTAACGGAGGAGCAAAGGACCGAAAAGTGACGAAAATAGATGATGAGGTCGAGTCACTGACCAATGTGAAGTGATTCAAGTCGATTGGATGACGCTGACCCTGTTTCCTTTAACATACACTCTTGCCACTTTGGTTTTGATTTTCATTGCTAAGCTCACATCTCGACCAACCCATGCTACGCTTTCATTCAACATCATCGTCATTCTCCCTGAAAGTGAAGGAAGTGGACATTAGCGATATATACTGAAAATGAAGGACTTGTTGACCTACACATCTCTCCTCTGCCAATGTATTGATCTCGAAAGACCAATTCAACATGATCCGCACAATATGCCGAAGGAGTAGGGCTTGGGACCTGGGTTTCGAAAACGGATACCATCATGAGAAATAGCTTGAAGTCCTGTAAGCGGAAAGTGAATGTTGAGTCTGACCTTTCTGATCAAAACTTCATTTCTGTTGTATTTTTCAAGATCAAAAGCCTTTGCGATGCCTATAGGTATCGAAATCTATAGGTTCCCGGGAAAGAAAATCCAATGAGAATGATGTCAATTGGTGGTGAAATGAATCTTGAACGGTTAAGATTGAAAGTTTAACTACTAACCTGTAATCCTTGTTGACGGACCAAAGTATGATGTCGAACAATAAATAGAAAACCCGGTTCATTATCCCATCGATCAGGAGTAGCAAAAGAATGTTCAGCAGTTGAAGCCACAGGATTTAATAATGGTACGATTTCTAATAAATCACCAATCCCAATTGAACTTGGATCGAGTGCAGCCAGGTTAAGACGAATTCCGGAAGCCGCATCAGCTAGATCGACACCAGCTGGAAAAGATTGAGTTGGTTCAGGATCGATCCAAAGTGTTAAACGAAATGATTCGAATGTTGGATGAACCATGATGGAAGGAATGAACGTCAAGAATGAGAATTGAAAACCACATTATGTATATACCGAACTGTAGTTTTCAATAATGCAGATTAAAATAAAACTGTTCACCCAATTCAAATGACGTTATTGATTGAAACTGAGACTCTCATCGATCATCAACTTATCACTTCGAACCAAAACTTACCAAAATGGCCAACTTTGAAACACCATTAGTAGTCGATAATGGTAAGTATTATCAATATTCATTCATACCTTATAATCTTGAATCTAATCTTTCGTTCCTTTGACTCAGGTACCGGTTTCGTCAAATGTGGCTTTGCAGGATCAAGTAAGTCTTTAAAGATTTATCATCCTCAAAGAAACCATTTTGAAAACCTGATCGGTTATGATTGTTTTGATGTATGAATCAAACCAGATTTTCCTGCCCATTCTTTTCCATCCTTGGTTGGTAGACCGATCTTACGTACCGAAGAAAGATCAAGTACCTTGGGAGGATCTCAACCGGTCACACTAAATGAAGTTATGATAGGAGATCAAGCATCAGAACATCGAAATTATTTACAAATCACACAGCCTATGGAACATGGTATCGTTAAGAATTGGGATGATATGATGTTACTTTGGGATTATACTTTTCAAGAAAAACTTAAAGTTAATACTCAAGATCGTAAAGTTCTTTTGACCGAACCTCCTATGAATCCAACTAAAAATCGTGAAAGGATGTGTGAAGTGATGTTTGAGAATTATCAATTTGGTGGAGTTTATGTGGCAATTCAAGCGGTTCTTACACTTTATGCTCAAGGTATTGTAAAACTTTAATCTCTTTGAATTTACGAATTCAAAATAACTGATCAAACTGTTCTCTTGAATCGATCAAGGCCTACAGACAGGTGTGGTCGTGGATTCGGGTGATGGTGTTACTCACATCGTTCCGGTCTATGATGGTTTCTCACTTCCTCATCTTACCCGACGGTTGGATGTGGCAGGCAGAGATGTAACAAGGTAATATACATCCCCCTCACCAATCATCATCTAGCGCATTGACTAATCTACTTTTTCGATTTCGATCCATCCGATCATCAGATATCTTATCAAATTACTTTTGATGAGAGGTTATGCTTTCAATCGTACTGCTGACTTTGAAACAGTACGTCAAATCAAAGAAAAATTGTGCTACGTCTCGTAAGTCCTCTTCGTTATCTGTAGAATCGAACCGCTATATACTCTAGGAGTATGGCGAAAAATTAAAAATCCAATTCATCTTTCTTGTAGATATGATCTTGATCTTGATAATAAATTATCGGAAGAAACAACTGTCCTGGTTGAAAATTACACAGTAAGTTCCTTTTGTGTCCATCACTTTTAAATCTCTTTGGAAATTTCTCTCATCATCATCTGACAAACAATTTGGTACGTGGAGGTAGTTACCGGACGGTAGGGTAATCAAAGTAGGTCAAGAACGTTTCGGAGCTCCAGAATGCATGTTCCAACCTCATCTTGTCGACGTCGAATCTGCTGGTGTAGCCGGTACGTAGTCTCTCTCTCTCTCTCTCATGGCAGAACATAAGAGGCTTTGATTCCTAACATACTTTACCTCTGTATATTCTTTTAGAGCTCTTGTTTAACACGATACAAACCGCAGCGCTCGATATCCGTCCCGAACTCTACAAACACATTGTCCTCTCGGGTGGATCTAGCATGTACCCAGGTTTACCTAGTCGACTTGAGAAAGAGATGAAACAACTTTATCTTACTCGAGTTCTAGGAGGTGATACTGACCGACTAAGCGTTAGTCTCTCAACTCCTCTGTGATGATTGAATGAAGTACTGATGTAATCGGAACCCATTTACTTGAGGCTGTGATTAGAAATTCAAAATCCGTATTGAAGATCCTCCACGTCGTAAACATATGGTTTTCTTAGGTGGAGCAGTCTTAGCCGATATCATGAAAGATCGTGAATCGTTTTGGTACGTGTATTTTTCCCCCTCATTAAGTTGTACTTCACAAAACATCTGTTGACGGTTTGTTGGGATAATGTAGGGTGACACGTCAAGAATGGGAAGAACAGGGTACACGAGCTTTGGATAAACTTGGAAGAAGCTCTGGTTGATTAGAATTGTATATGATCATAGATAGTTATGATGTGGAACGAATCTTTTTTGTGTAAATCAATTTGTTTTGATGAGTTTGAAGTAGTGTGCGTGTGTGTGTGGATTCATGATGAAATGATTTATTTTCCTGGTTGCCATGAGAGGAACCCTTTGCATGAAGTGCTAGGCTGGGGAGTCTGGTTGTAGAATTTGAGACTTTACAAAGCGATCCTGGGCAAGAAAATGACCCAGGTGATCTTGTCAAAAATCTTTATTACAGCAGTCAACCCGCGCGAGTTAACTAAAATTGTGTACAAAAGCGATATTCTTGTTTCGGGGAGGGATCTGAATGCTCTGTTAAGAAGTTTTGGGACTTTGGAACGAGGATGGAGTGTGATGTTATTATTGATTGATTTACATTGCAGATTCGACAAAATCATCTCGTAGCCCAGAAGATAGTGAGCACCTTCTTGATTGTTGTGAAACAAAAAGTTAGAAGAATCACAACATTTGGATTATACAAAAGAGGCAATGAAATAATATACAGTGCGAACGTAGATTACAAATACTAAAACATATTGCACATAACTTCAATACAAAGACACTTGCATGAATCGTAAAGATAATAAGAAAGAACGTGAATTTATACAGTTGGATCAATAATATTAGAAAGAAATTGAAGTTCCTGCTTAGGCCGCATCAGCACCAGATTTAGCCAGTTCATCAGGATGAGTGAGTCCATAAGTGGTTTGCAACCGTCGACGTTCCAATAGGTCCTCTTCACCTACGTATTGACCCTGAAGGACTTCATCTGAGACCGTCCGTGCTCTTGCTGAGGTAGGTACTGAGAGCTCTCTGAGCGGACGAAAGTGTTCTTCAGGTGTATCGATCTCAGGTAAACCATAACCAGCCTCTTCTCGACGACGATCGAAGAGATCTTCATGATTATCGAGGATCTTGCCTTCCTTACGGACTGGCAAGGTCTCCACTGTCGGTGTCACCAGCACAGGTGGAGTGACAATCGCTGCAGCCGACGCTGCATTGAACCCAATCAGGCTTTTAGATGCGGCCTTCGAGGAAACAAGCGGAGCCGCGCCAGAGACTGATGTATCTGGCGATGACGCCGAGGAGTCGGTTGAAAGTCGAAACCCGGGGGGCGGGGTCGGAGTGACGGTGCGTAGACCACTATTTCCAACTTTTGCGGAACCTCCGGCCAAAGTTCCAGGAGAAGGCGAGTTTGAACGGGAGTCTGATCCTCCTCTTGGCCGTCGACGGGGCGTAAAACTCAGAGCATCGTCATCGGCCACAGTGCTGGTATCAGTCTTGCGCTCCGAGACAAATTTATAAGCCGAAGTCAGTGGTATTGGGGGCTTCAATTCGCCCTGACTTTTGGCTTCATGCTTCGTGAAAGCAGAAGTGATGAAGTCGGCGGTAAGATCGAGCGCTGAGCTGACTTCAGGCAGAAGAGGTAGCATTTGGGCGAAACCATGACTCCAACCCTCGAATATTCTGCAAGACCAAAGAACCAATTGGGGAAAGTAGTGTGTTAAAATATTGGTGAGTCATACAGATTGAGATAGATAAGGAGAAGGCTAGTCAGCGTGCGTACCGGAGTTGAACCCAATCCGCTTCAGCTTCATCGAGTATGGGATCACGCCTCGTCGCAGCGCTCTTGCGAAGCTGACCAGCGTTGTTGGCGGCTTTGGTCAACGCGTCCCTCTTGCGTGCTCGTTTCGCTTCACGGATTTTACCAGCAATGATGACAGTATCATCAACAAAGGGATCCTTTTCGCCGCATACAAGATACACCGGCGGAAAACGCGCTAGCACACTCGCTGGTGCAAAGATTGGCGAGATATGATAATCTTTGGTGAGATCAGGAGCGTTTCGAGGGCCGATGTAACAGATTGCCATGCAGCGCATCTGACAATCAATCAAATAAAGATGAGCAAACAATCAAGTTGACCATGACGGTTTAACCAAAGGTACATACCATGGAGGGACTGATGATACGGTCGTTGAAGAAGCCTGTTCGACTAGTCATAGTCAATCTGGTTCCAAATGCTTTCTTGCCCTTGCCAGCCTTTGGAGTCTTGGGCTTCGGTTTTACCTCGACATCAGGCTGATCACCCATTTCATCATCAATATCTACAGAGTCTGAGCGACCGGGACTTTCTTCTTCATGGTACAAGATCCTCTCGCTGATCGATTGGCCCCTCGACATCGCAGATATTGGGTCGTTTTCGGAGCTCTCGGTCTCACTGGGGCTCTTTGGCTGTGAAATTCGCAGCTCAACTTCTGACTTTCGCCGTTCTGTCTTTGGAGTGAGTCCACGTGTCCAAGTAGCCACCTTGCTAGGTAAGTTGGCAAAACTCTTCCGTAGAGTATCGTTTCGTCCGTGTCTGCGTCGCCCCTGGCTGGAAGATGCATCCGGTCGATCGGCCACCACGCTCAATGGACTTTGGTGCTCTAAATGATTCTTGGCTTCCAGTATACCACCAGGTAACTCGGAAACGGATGAATCATGTCGCAAGACTCGCAAGTTTTCTTCGGACATCCAAGACGTAAAGTTGAAGTCCAGAGCTGGATACATCCAGAGTATCCCAACAGGAGGTGGTAAGGAGAAGAAAGGCGAGTCCGGCGCGGCCTCGATCATCGATATCATCATGGCAGCCGAAAGATTGGCACCTCTGTGGGTAGAAGACGACATTTGTAAGCATTATGTCTAGATAAACAGATCAAATGGACTAACGCTGAATCTCCAGTCAGGATCACGTCCACTGCGTCTCTTCCCATACCAATGACTCGGCCTTTAGTCTCCTGCACCAAGCGATACACGTCCATGCATTCATGTATGGCGTAGGGGAAGGGGTACTCCGGGGCTTTACAGTAATCAATTGAGAGAATGGGCACCCCCGTCCTCATCGTCCATCTTATCAGCCTATCCTCGTGATGCATTGGGCTGAGAAAAGGGAGTGATATCAGTTGAGCAAATCAGATAATTTAGGCTTCGAGTCTTTGAGAAAAGGAACTGACCTCATGGCTATAAAACCGCCTCCTGGAACGTCCATAATGAGGTTTCGACAGCGAACCAAGTCGAGCTCAGGGCGAGCAAAGTAAAGCCAGCACGTGATAGGTTTGGTATATTTTGAACCAGACGGACGAGGCAGGATGAACTTGCGACGGATGGAGATGTTGGGTCGGTTTTTACGAGTGAAAAATTGGACGAATGGATTAGATGTCTTTTCCCAAGTGACTCGCAAGATTTCAACCTGTCATTGGAGGAGATTCAGTACGAATTTTGAATATAAGCTGGAAATAGCATAAATGGACTTACTGTTGGCACCGCGCGGTATTGACGCAGTTTCTCGTCGGCTTCGTTTGCATAAACCAGGTAATAACCACTGAAGAGAAGGCTGAGCACGTCCCTCATCCACTTGATCCTGACACCGGCAGCAGTGGAAAACCCGGCATCCAAGGCGGTATTGATCCAAGATGCACGATAGAATCCTCGAGAATATAAGCGCGCCAAGGGCTCAGGAGCTGTATTGATCAAACAAATGATGTCAAAAACTGGAAATATTGAGGTAGTGGTACGCAAATGCGATGTCACTGACCTTGAAGGCCTAATAAAGTATCCCAATGACGAACTCCATAGAGAGTTGTCAAGGCGGTGAGGATGATTTGCCAAGGTGTGAAGCGTTCTGTGGCACGGATTGAAACAGAGTCTCGGTCAGATTCTGGATCAAGAAATGAAAGATATGGGAAGACTCAACTCAAACGTTCATTAAAGTGCTGTAGTCCAGGAGGACCTCGAGGATTACCAGCTCGAAGTCGCCAAGCCCAGAAGAGAAGGACAAGAGCGACTTGAGTGCGTTTCCAAGAGGCAGAAGGTCGTCCCAGGAGATGATCGATCATGTTATTCTAGAATGTGTTTGTTGAAAAGAAGTTGATTGAAAGAGTAAGCGGATTGAAGAGAAGAGGATGGATGAAGTGATTGAGAATGTTGTGTCCAAGATCATATGTTGAGTTTTGAGTGAAATCGATTGGGTGGGTTACATAGTTTGAGTCCGATCGAAATGAAAGTTTTCAAAGTTTACCTAAGAAGATGCCCTATTGATGAAAGCTGGCTGCTCAATCAGCTGTCATCCGGTGCTCATCGACCTGATTTCAGTCATGGGGTCTTTGCAGGTCTTTGCACGTGAAATCGTTCTGAACTGTATCAACTTTTCAATCCCGCTCCGCCCACGTAATCACATTTGGCCCTGTCCTCAGGAACGGTCACACTGAATGCACAGCGATAAATAAAACCCTTGGCACAGTTGAAAGTGATGGTGCCTCAAGCGCCTATACCCATTTCATCAGCTTACAATTGAGTTTAAACAGACAAGAGAGAAGATACCGTTGCGATCGAGAAGTACATTTTTCACAACTACCTTTGTACTTGTGATGTATTCTTCAAAAGGCCTGAGTTTTGACCTATACTTTGAGTCATTCCTATCAACGGAAGCCATATAAGCAGACCAGGTAAAGGCTGGTAAAGTTGACTGAGCTGATCGTGTCTTAAACATCCCAAGATGCTGGTAGCCAAGCTATTATGGTTCCGGAGAGCTTGGACGCTGCATCCAAGGCCTTTTGAACGTGACATGGCTCCGGTGCTTGATCCAAGGGCATCTTGTTCAATGTTGAGGGTGAGAATTAATTTGAGGATGGCCCTTATGCCAAGCTCTTCAGTTTTATTCTATCAGAAGGTCACGGAGGTTGGTACCCCTTGGTATTTATTTGATTGGCTCAATTGTGGTGGAGAGGTTTAGAAGGGTTTTTTTCGTATGAAGAAACTGGCTCGTCAGAGGCAATAAGGAAATGGTGCCAATGATGTAGGTAGAAGAAGATTCTTCATGTCCACTTCATGTCCATATTTCCTCACCCGCGCTCTGGTGCTGCAGGTTTTTTTTGTTGAGAAAGAATTAATAACCCTTGATCTGCTTTCCATCTTTCTATATGCCTTTGCAGCCTCCATTGTTGACGGGCTTATCTTGAGCTCAGGTCTCATGTTTGACTCCTCGCGTTTTACTGCGGATCAGCAACCTTGTCTTCATGCTTCATCAGATGAACCCCTATCTCCATGGACCACTTCTTTCAAGTTTTTGCGCGTCTAATTGAGCACTAGTGTAACGAATCTTATCTTCCGTGCGTTCAAAACTCAAATCTCACAATGTGGGGTGCAGGATTGGTCTGTTTGACTTTCAGCCGTCGAATCACCCCGCGATGTTTCAAGACGCTTCAACGAACACAGTTTGGAGAAGACCTGTGCATCAAGGATAAATCTTATTTCACTGACTTGCTCAAGGTGATCGAAGGATGGTCCCCAGAGGGCTGTTCAAAAGTGCTCGTGATTCACGTTTATGAAGGACAGATGATCAGGCGCTTCATCCGAAGTGACATGAGGCCCTTGTCAATGAACAGGCCCCTCACGAGTCTCAACTTGGTTTCAGCTACCTTTCAACTTTATTATCTGGTGGTGTACTTGACAACGAATGTCATCGGTTTAACTTTAGATCGATGATTGACCCAGCGTATCTTGTGCAGCAGAAGGCATCTTGTGCAGTACACCATTAGACAATGCTCATCACGCACCCGCAGACAGTTCGAATGCCAACATGAGAGGAATGGCATATCACAGTTGCAGTGAGGCACAAGAATGACTACGGCATGCCCGCTGGCACATCAGAGACAACACTGCCACCCGTCCCGAAAACAACGAGGTGATACTTGAATGGGTGGAGAAATCTATTTTTGCGTTGCCCATGGTTTTTCTCATCCTCGACTGAGGCCTGCGGCGTAGGGCACGAGGGTGAAATGCAGCGATTCTCCGCTAGGTTCGAATGTCGCGACGACTTCCTACAGGTCCTGTCGACGATCGCTTGACGCCCCACATCCAACAAGCAAGATCATATGGGATATATAAAGGCGTCATTCATGGACCCAAGAAGTACTACAGCCTGCTCAGCCCTCGTCAGTCTTTCATTCATTCATTTATATCACGTTTCTCTCCTTTAGTACTCTCATTTGTAGCCAACCTTTATCAACCCAGGTCGTGTCAGCTTCGGTTTCACCGAAAAAACACTACTTTATACACAGGGACCAACGAACCTTGTATAAATAGTCTCAATGATGTCTGAGGAAGTTTCTGATGACAGCCTACGTGGACGCTCAATTTCTCGTGCACCCAGAAATCCAAAAGCAAGCTCCACTGTATGTTCCTCGAACGATCAATTCGACAAAAGTATGAAATCTAGGGATCCATTGCTTAGAAAACTGGACCGAGCAGGCGATCTGTGGCGAACCAGGGAAGGAATTGTGATATACTGGCACGGGTATAAACTTCAATATCAAGACTTGATGGACGGAATATGGAAATGGTCAGCAAGCGGAGGTGAACATGCACGGAAAAAGCTAGTAACCTATATTCAGCATGAGCGAAAACCTAAGCACGAGAAACGTGTAGGTTTGTCTGATTTTGTCTGTCAGTATCGCCATAAACTTTTAGACGAGCATGTGAGTTTTATATTGCGATTGCTATTTCAATGGCTAATTCTACGCTCAAGGACGGAAGGGAGGCTAACTACAAGAACATCCTGTGACTATCCCGAACTCACGTTCAGATACAAAGGATTTATGGTAAGCATCATCATATTTGTTCTCATATGCGTCGAACTTGCAACAAGCTATATAGATGGAGCTGATTTTTTTTGCTTTCCAGGTGACTTATACTTGATTGGAGTTAGTTGGAAAGAGATGATTGATTTTCTAGCTAGGCCAAGGTCTTCGTCCTCAGCTTATCATCAAAAGCTAGGACAGCTTGAAAGCAAACTTCGATTCTATTTGATGATTTCCTTGAGAGAATATAATGGACTTCCTTTGGATCCTAGCAGACCAGGTGAAGCAAGTTGGCCGATCTGGGACTTATCAAGTGATGGGGACGGTTGCACGGGATGGGATATCATTGAGGTTTCTTCCTCAGAGTCATCCGCCTCAAGTCAAAATGGCTTCCCTTTCCAGTTTTCACTGCGAGAGCTAAAAAGCTTTACATCTGCAGCTAGGTCTTCAAGTTCTGTTCCTCATCGGAATCGAAGAAAAGGCTCGACGAACAGTGGATCGCGACACTCCGAAAAGATAACGCAGACTGAAAAAAGGAGCAGCAATCGGAGACGATCTATAGAGTCTGGATCACAGCGTTCTGACCAATCCAAGAGCCTGGATGATGTCGTGTCATCTTCTAGAGGCAGGCAAAAAAGCAAAGGTCGACGGAAGAGTTGTCAGGTAGAGAAAGCTGACACTAAATCATTCGAATCGTGGGTAATCAGTCAGCATATCTGCTCCACATCTCAGAAACATTGATCAGTTTGCTCTTGCATGGGGAAACACAGAAGTTTGAAAGCCAGCCCAACTCATCGAGTAGACTCGGAGAATGGAGACCAACATCTTAAATTGACCAGGGATCAGTTAGTGTCCCCTCTTCTCCTGCTGACAGATGCCAATAGTGACATTGTATCCTTGTGCATGAAAATCAAATAGAACCGGAAACAAAGAAAAATCAGGTCACTCTGTTGCCTCGAAGGCTGGTCGCAGTCGTTCTAAGCATCGAGAGACAGTGGCATTGGGTAAGTTCAACGCACTAATGATAGAAGCACTTTGAAAGACTTGCTAGATTGACGTCGTCATATTGCCTCACATCATTTATTTGACTTCTGTAGAGAAAATACCTGTTGAGAAATAAAAACTTGATCAGATCTCTTCATGACTGTGCACTCACTTGGTGTCGTGAAAAAGATTTCTTCAATATTTTCGATACCAATAGCATATTCTCGCGTGTGAATACATTTCTGTGGATTCCTATGTGTGGTGTTGTTTGTGATAATTCAGGTTCTTTGTGATTTAATGGGTAATTCAGTGAAACATAAAGGAACATATTTTGACGTCACAAGCGGGACAATTAAAAAACCCTATGTAGCTCAACACAAGCCACCAACAGCAGAGACATCCCCCAACACTGGGTTGATGACCAATGTCAATGATTGATTGATGTCAAACAGTATCATGGCCATAATATTATGTTCCTTGAGTTGAAGATTTTTTTGACGCCGGGTCAGGAATGAGCCATTAATCGAAGTACTACAGTATGGATATATGAGATTCTTGAGAGTGTATACCTTCTCTTTTCTTGCGAGGAAGGCAGCGGACTACTGATAGCTACCAATCATGCCTGTTGAATGTCAAGTAAATCTCACACAAAAAGATTAGAGCAACTTGGGATCCAAAGATATCACGAGACCTTTATTATGCATTACCACCTAACACCAGATTATGCACCATACTTCAGCTCAACAAGTCTCTGTATGGGTTGAAGCAGTAGCCTAGGTGTTGATAACTACATCTTGTTGCCTTCTTCACCTCTATCAACTTCCGTGTGTTGTTGGCCAACCCATGTCTATTGATCAGTCTTGAGAAGTCTGAACCATGTTATATTCATTTTCATGTTGATAACATGACTATCATGAGCAGCATGGCTGGAATCAAATCATCCAAATCTTCAATTTCTCAAAAATTCAAGGCGGAAGACCTGGGTCATGCCACCTCTGTGCCCGGCATGAACATAACTCACAACCAACAACTTTGCACCGTCTCTTGAACTCAAGAACATTGAAACCTTCTGGAATATTATGGGATGTCTAGTTGTGACCCTGTGGCGACTCCCATCAATCTCACCAAACCCGATGGATTTTCCATCACTAACTTCGTCGCAACAGGTTTAAATTAACAACCAGCAGTTGTCTTGGTCAATTATCTAGTTCAGCTTTTCATTTACTACTTAATTTTATGTGTGGTACCTGTTCTCACTGCTTAACCTACGTGCTGCGTCTCTAGCCTACTATCTGCCAGTCAACTTCCCCAAAGCTGACTGTGCTGGTTGCACAGAAACCCATTGTTCTACTTCCGGCTATCTTTTCATGCTATTTTGTGGTCCAATCAGCTGGAGAACAAAGAAACAACCAGTTGTCTCACTCAAATTCCACCACCAAAGCTCAATACAAAGCTGTGGTTGAAGCTGGTCAAGAGTTTCTGTGGTTAGGAAATACCTTCAAAGACCTAAAAATTTCAACGGAAGGCATGATTACTTTATTATGCGACAGTCAGGGCGACATTGCACTTGCTATGAATCCAGTCTTCTGGTCTTGCACCAAGCAAATTGAAATTCAATATCATTGGATTCAAGAGCAACTACTTAACAGCAAATTCAGTTCAATGTACAGTCCCCTCCAAGTGATTTACGTAATCATTAAAGTTTTGCAGCCGCGGGGCCAGGATTTGTCCCAAAACCAATGATTACAATTCCTAGGCGCAGGGACGTGTACCAACCAACTGCCAAGATGACTGCTGACCTTATTACTAAGTTCTTGCTATGGGTGCTACATGAAATGTGTATTACCAGTATGGGAATTGCTCAGTTTATCAAACAAAAATAGTTGTTCAAAGTAAGGGGGGTATTGAGATATTTAATGTGCTCAACTATCCATGACATCATGATTCTTATTCTTATGACATTTATGGTGTTCAAACCTCAAAATTAATTCATGCAAGTTTTGTGCAAGTTCTGTGCAAGATATGAATAGAACTTGCATGGATCTTGCACAAAACTTGCAAGAGTCGGTCTCGCACGGTTTTTGCACGGTTTGGAACACAATAACTCGGGTTGTCAAAAAAATTAATGTGCAAGATTAGTGCAAAAGATCTTGCACGGATCTTGCACAGATCTTGCTCGTTGGTCTCGCACAGTTCTTGCACAGGTTGAACACCCTAATTGTTTCATTTTGCTTCCTTCTTTGCTCGATTTTTTGTACCAAGGTTACACAAATCCTACACTATATCAGACTGGGTGTTTCTCATCATTGTATCCATTTTTCTTCATTCACTCTTATACATTTGTTCCTCATACCATCAGGTACTTCCGCTTGTTCTCTCTCTCTATATTAACAATAAGCATGTGTGCTTTATAAATCTTGACCTTTCATGGGAAATCCCACTTGCCAAACTGAACTCTTCCCACTTACTACAACTGCACATGTCAAGTCCTATATACCATTACTTTGCTATCCTGTAGGATATCAATCAATGAAATTCAAAATTACCTACTGATTATACTCACTGACAATCCGGAAGGTAAGATACCATGATTGGTGCATCTTGGGTAGGCCAAGCATCTCAGCAAGATCCTCTTCATGCTACTGCGTAGGTATTCAGACCGTATATAGCGACGCAGCACGCAGCATGTCTTAATAGCTCACACTGCGTGAAAAACCCTGTCGGAACCGGCCCCGCGACAGCCTGTCGCCCGGCATATGTATATATTTACATAGCCAGCGACAGATACACTTTTGGCCAGCGACACTTCAAGTTTTCCTGCGACAGCTGGTTTGGTTTTGCGACATCTCATCCCCACTCCCCCTCCGATCTGCCTGCGACATCTCCTTCGCCCTTCTTCCCTCTTCATCGCACCTCTTGATCTGGATCCGCCAAATCCTTCTCGAACCACTCCAGAAGTCCAGACTCCAAATCTCGAACGACTTTAGCAGTACAGCAGCAGTTGAAATCATCAGTGACGTAAAGGATCAAACGTCTCAGGCCAGGTTAGTCCGGTTTTCCTTTCACATCCCTCACTGTTTTCATTTATTTTCTCACAGCACAATGGCAAATTTTCCTGAAGGGGAAGCTCGTCACATGAGCGGTCAATCTCAAAGGGTCTTGTCATACCCGAGCCGTCTGAAGATCTCACCAGCCTACTTGCTTGCGTATATAAACCCCTACGATCTGGTGTCTTCTCACCGCTCATCATACATTTGTTTTCCCCCGTCTTTTCTAGAACTCTTTCCACTCTTGTATACCCATTTCATAAACCTATACATATACCGTTTTCATCGACATTGACGACCCTAACCCCTTCCCTCTTCTCTTTGTTTTTTAATTCCAATCAATCATGGCCGATGATGATATCCCGATGTCCGAAGCTACCTCTACGACCACTCCAGTCACGTCTACGATCCCTCCAGCCACCGCTACAAACCCCCTTGCCGATTCTGTCAGTGCTCTCATGCCGACGCTCTCAAACAACAAGCTGCTCAATTCGAGGCCATCGTTGGCGGACTTCAAACTCAAATTGTCAATTTAAGTGTTGGAACCTCAGCCAAGAAGGACAAGAACCGGCAGTCAAGCTCCTCAACCAACCCCTACACCACACCATCTACGTCTAGAACTGCTCCCCGCCAATCAACTAGTGCCACCAAGACTTCGAAGTCCACTCCGAAGTCTACTTCAAAATCTACTCCCAAGTCAAATCAAAAGACGAAGAAATCACCCGAAGCCCCGCGAAAACGTCACGTTCTTCAAGTGTTTTCAAGCGAGCTGGCGTCTGATTTCAAGAGTACCAAGGTAAGAAATTTTGTTGCACTCATTCAATTAACCTCTCACTGACTTGATCTTATCATTCTAGGAAGCGCTCTATATTCACATCAAAATGATGTGGGGATTATTTAAGAAGAACGATGTTCCACCTCCTCCCAACCCCGCTCTGTTGAAGGAGTTCTATTTACGATTTTCGAACTCAGACGAAATCGACCACGCCATCAAGAACCCCACCTCTGCCGATGTGGTTGCACAGGGTAGTATCATGACATTAAGGAGTGCAAAGGAAGGTCAGATCAAGCTAGGCCGTGGACTTGCAAACATCAGCAACATGCAACTACTTTACATTCACGGTGTCTTGGCGCGAGTGGGAATTCGTATTTGGGCTCCGGACCTCAATGATGCATACGACTCACTTTACAACAACGCTTGTCGAATGGTTGCATTGGATACTTTTCGCCAACTCTTATCTTGCGGCTCTTACAACTACATGAATGCAAATATGAAACACGTCAACTCAATGTCCGACATGATTGCTGCTTACAATCATTACGTCCACTTTCTCAAAGCTGGCGAGTTCCGAGCTGAAAGCAAAACCCCCGGTCGCAAAGCTCAACTCAGCAGCAGGAAGACCATCCAAAAAAACCGCGAACGAGTAAGTTTAAACCTCAATATATTTTGAACCTACTATTTCCGTCTGCTGATATTCCTCTTCACCCTAGTTGGCAGATCAGCGTCAAGAGTATCTGTATGGACAATCGTCACAAGTATGGCAAACGATATCAGGACTTTGTTGCTCCGACGGCGGCGCACAGTGATGACGAGGAGAACCCAGATGGTTCAAACACATTCACCATCAAAACACTGGGTTATCGCTCACCAAATGCAAACAAGTTTATGCGAAGACTGGATTACGAGATGAAGCAAGCTGGTTATGGAAGCAACATGCGAGTCCGCCGACTGCCAAAGGTGCCTGTTCCCTCAATATTTAACGACAAACCACCCAAAGACCTATCTTTTGACTCTTACGACCCCAAGTGGCACCGAAGCCTTCCAGCTGGTCGCAGACGAAGAATTGGGAAACGAGATCGAGTTACATTCCTTCCAGATGCCAGTCGTTCATTGATGAAGGTTCCACACCCCGACGAGTTATTGTCAGATTCCAGGTTTACGGCGAAGTATTTGGATATCATCAAGGACGCCTACCAGTTTTCGGATGATGAAGACCATGTAGATGCTGAAAGCGAAGATGAAGAAGAATCCGAAGATGAAGACGCAATAGATATTGATGCTCCACCCGAAGATGATGAGTCTTCTGAATTTTACTCAGATGGTGAGTATGGGGACTTGTACGATGAAGAGGAGGTGGATGATTCGGGAAAAGGAAAGGGGAAAGGTAAAGCCACGGTGGAGATTGAAAAAGACGATTAAACATCTTTTATTGTTTCTTGCTTTTTTCATGTTTGATCTGTCCCCATATGGTGAAGTTATTTCTTGTTTCTGTTTTTGTGTGATTGGTCTCAAATGTGAATAGTCAATGACCACTTGTATGTGTTAGGCCTAGTCCGTGTGTCTTGATTGTGTTATGGTTGCTTTGATCATTCTTTCTGTTATATGCTGTAGATACTCATGGTCATTGTGTGTTTTTCTTC